TCTCCCAATTACAGACATAAAACGCAGCCAAAAATTAGTTTTTTTTTTTCTTCCCCACCCCCCCGCGGGGTTATCCGCCCTCTCCCCGCCGCCCCCGCGCGCGGCGCGACACCCTCCCGGGCAGCGCGGGGGACACGGAGGGACCGTCCCCACCGCCTCTTCGCATCCCCTCCCCACGTTGAACCGAATCTCTGTCTTTTCGTACAGAAGGGGGTGGGTTGGAAGGGACCTTAGAGATCATGGAGTTCCACCATGGCAGGGACACCTCCCACCAGACCAGGTTGCTCAAAGCCCCATCCAGCCTGGCCTTGAACACCTCCAGGGATGGGGCAGCCACAGCTTCTCTGGGCAACCTGTTCCAGTGTCTCACCACCCTCACAGGAAAGAATTTCTGCCTAACATCTAGCCTAAATCTCCCCTCTTTCACTTTAAAACCGTTACCCCTCACTCCATCACTCCATTCCCAAGAGTCCCTCCTCATCTCTCCTGCACACCCCCTGTAGCTACTGGAAGGGACTCTAAGGTCTCCCCGGACCCTTCTCCTCTCCAGGCTGAAGGACCCCACCACCACCATCTCCCCCCGCAGGGACCGCAGCAGCCAGGGCAGCGACGAGCCTTTACCATAGAACCATGGCACGGTCTGGGTGGGAAGGGACCTTGAAGATCATCCAGTTCCACCCTTCCTGACATGGGCAGGTGGCCATGACCCTCCACCCCCCCACACCCACCTTCATTTTTTAGGGAAAATCCTCTCAGTGCTTACAAAGCGGGACAGGGGTGGCAGGGTGTCTGTGCCCCTTCTATGAACCACCCGCTGTCCCTCCTGGGACCAGAGCCCCTTTGGTGGGACACCTTTAGGGAATTGTGAAACTTGGAAAACACCCGGCCTTTTTCTTTTGGATTTTCCTCCAGTTCCGCTGGAGTTGGGGCGGGATCGCGTTTGCCTCTTCCCTGCTTGTCCAGACACGGGCAGGTTCTGGGTAGACCACTTCCCCCGCCCAGCCTTACTCATTTACAGCCCGGGATTTTAATTGAGCAATAGCATCGGGAGGCAGCACGGCACAGTGTGACTGCATCCCCTTTGCTGAGCTGAAAATGGTTTTAATACAAATCCTCAGGGCTCTGACCAAAATCGCCCGGTCTGCCTTGTCCTGCCACTGCCAGCTGGGGTGGTGTTAGATGAGGAAGGAGCATCTTCTTCATCCTCACGTTGGATGTTGGCCGCAGAGCTCAGGTCTGAACCCAGCAGAGCCCAAGCCCCCCAGCCCTCACAGCCTGGAGCTTCTCCCCACTTCCTTCCCTTTCCCATGGTGGCACTAAGGGGAAGCTCCTGCAAACCACGTGAAGTTCAACCAAGCCAAGTGCAGGGCCCTGCAGCTGGGACGTGGCAATCCCGGGCACAGATGCAGGTTGGGCGGAGAATGGCTAGAAAGCAGCCCTGAGGAGAAGGACTTGGGGGTGTTGGTGGATGAGAAGCTCAACATGAGCTGGCAATGTGCACTGGCCAACCCCATCCTGGGCTGCATCAAGAGAAGCGTGGCCAGCAGGTCCCAGGAGGTGATTCTGCCCCTCTGCTCTGGGCTTGTGAGACCCCACCTGGAGTACTGTGTCCAGCTTTGGAGTCCTCAGCACAGGAAGGACATGGACCTGTTGGAACGGGTCCAGAGGAGGGCCACGAAGGTGATCAGAGCGATGGAGCACCTCTCCTATGAGGACAGGCTGAGAGAGCTGGGGTTGTTCAGCCTGGAGAAGAGAAGGTTCCGGGGAGACCTTATAGCCCCTTCCAGTACTTAAAGGGGGCTACAGGAAATATGAGGGAGGGACTCTTTATAAGGGAGTGCAGTGACAGGACAGGGGGTAATATTTGTAAGTTTAAAGAGGGGAGATTTAGAGTAGATATTAGGAAGAAATTCTTTCCTGTGAGGGTGGTGAGACACTGGAACAGGTTGCCCAGAGAAGTTGTGGCTGCCCCATCCCTGGAGGTGTTCAAGGCCAGGCTGGATGGGGCTTGGAGCAACCTGGTCTGGTGGGAGGTGTCCCTGCCCAGGGCAGGGGAGGTGGAACTCAGTGATCTTTATGTCCTTTCCAGCTCTAACCATTCCATGATTCTGTATAATTATCTGCACAAAGGGAATGGGGGAGAGCTGCCTGTGTGTCCTTTTGTTGTTTTCGGTCTACAGTATTGAGTATTTCCCCTCCTGCTCGCATGGGATGTTTGGTTCCTTTCTTGTCTCCCCAGGAGAAAGGCTAAGGCAGCCCCAGCGGAGCCTCCCACCCCTCCAGAGCACCTTCCATCTGCTCCTTCCCACATCCCAACAAAGGCAGCCTCTGTCTCCAACAAAGAAGGCTTTTCCCTGGAGTCTGTTTCCCAACGGTCTGGGTTAAATGGGCCTTTATAACACCCTGGGGAGCTGGATCTGAAGGACACGGGAGACCTGTTCCAGTGTCTCACCACCCTCACAGGAAAGAATTTCTTCCTGATATCTAATCTAAATCTCCCCTCTTCCAATTTAAAACTGTTACCCCTCGTCCTGTCACTATACTCCCTGACAAAGAGTCCCTCTCCAGCTCTCCTGTAGGCTCCTTACAGCTATTGGAAGGCTGCTATCAGGTTTATTACAGAATAAACAATTCAGAAGAGACTAGAGGAAGAAGGTTATGGGCTCAGACAGGTTTCCCAGCATTTACCAGCAGTTAAAAATAGAGCACAGCAGTTGTCTGGGGTGCAGCTTTGGAGCCAGTGCAGTTTGGCAGAGGCATCTGGTCGGGCTGAGCACAGCGACAGGCTGCCCTGGCAAACGCACGCAGCCCAGCAAATGGGGCGGGATTAAATAAATATAGATAATTACAATCCCAGCCCCCCTGCAGGAGACGTGAGAAAGGTACATGGGAAGAAATGAAGGACCAGGGACGCACGTGTAGGATGTGTCTCTCCATCCTGCTCTCCCTCCTCCGGGATGCGCTTGAAGGATGCAGCAGTCGGAGCTGCCGCAGCCTCGGATTGCCCCAAAAATGTGCTTGCTGGGCCGACAGCAGCAGCCAGAGGAGAAACTCCCCACCATGGAGCAAACGGAGAAGCTCTGCCAGGTGGTGCCTGACACCGGCTGATGGAAATGCCTCCACCTGCCCCCGGGCGAGGGCGGGAGCGGGACCAGAGGGATTCACCAGGGGGTGAATGCACCCACCTCGGTGGGAATAGCAGAGTTACAGAAGGGATTCACAGTCACAGAGTTACATCTGGGATGTCTGTGAAGAGCAGAGGAGGGAAAGGAAGAAAAAGAGAAGGGAAAAAAAAAAAAAAGAAAAAGCAGAGAGACCAACAAGGAATATTTCTTGCTAGAATAATTTCTGTATGGAACAGCAGTGATAAATCCAGGGGCTTTTATGCAGACTTTGGCCCCGGCTGACGGTGAGGGTCTGTGTGAGCAATGGTTTGATGGATTGCCTCTTTCCTAGCGAGTGATCGGGCACAGCCCTGCAGAACATCCAGCCTTTGGCTGCTCCCAGGCCTGTCGCCATGCCTGGCAGCATCACGGAGCTGGAGGGACACATTCCCTGTGTGTGCCAACACGGCAGAGCTGAAGGGGCACGCTCCTCATGTGCTGACATCATGAAGCTAAAGGAGTCACCCCGGGGTGACCAACCTCCCAATGTGCCAACATGGTGGAGCTGGAGGGACACGCTCCTGATGTGCCAGCATCGTGGAGCTGAAGGTACATGCTCCCTATCTGCTGGCATTGCGGCGCCAGAGAGACACATTCCCAATGTGCTGGCATTGAGGGGCTGGAAGGACACACTTTCCACGTGCTGACATGGTGGAGCTGGAGGGACATGCTTCCAATGTGCTGACATCATGGAGCTGGAGGGACACACTCCCAATGTGCCAGCATTGTGGAGCTGGAGGGAAACACTGCCAACGTGCCGGCATGATGGAGCTGAAGGGACACACTCCTGACGTGCCGACATGGTGGAGCTGGAGGGACACACTCCCAACGTGCCAGCATCATGGAGCTGGAGGGACACAATCCTGATATGCCAGCATCGTGGAGCCGGAGGGACACACTCCTGACGTGCCAGCACCATGGAGCTGGAGGGACACACTCCCAACGTGCTGACATGATGGAGTTGGAGGGACATACTCCCGACGTGCCGACATGGTGGAGCCGGAGGGACACACTCCCAACGTGCCGGCGGAGGCGAGCGCGGTGCCGGGCAGGGAAGGGCAGTGCAGACGTGCGGTCCCTCCACGCAGTCACGCTGCGTGTGGGCCAGCTGCCGGCGGGGACATCTCCTCTGTGGCTGTGGGGGATGGAATAGCACAGCCAGTCTCCCCCCGCCGCCCGGCCGGGAGCCCCAGCCCTCCCCGCACACTGCCTACGTGTCTGCCGGCAGGGACGGGCCCTGACACCGCCGGCTCTGACCACAGGCTGGACGGAAAGCGCCGTCCTTGCCTGCCATCCCCAACGGGTGACAGTCAAAAGGCACCTTCTTCCCCACCTGCATCTCCTCCTGCTGGCTCTCAGACACGGGCCCAGCTTTCCGGAGGAGGGTGAGCGCCGGAGCAGCGGGCGAGCAGCCGGCACGGCATGAGGTTATGGCAAAAGGAGAGGACTGGGAGAGAAGAGTCACACAGAGCATCTCCCACTTTATTTTGGACTGGGGCTGCTGATAAAATAAACACATGCTGCCAGTTGTTTGGTTGTTGTTTTTTTTTCTCTCCACTCCCCAAAACGTCTTTCTACCTGAAAACACGCCGACTGCATCACACGCTTCCCGAGACCTGGCGGCACTGCGGAGAGAAATCACCACTCCGCCAGATTCCTTCCAACTATGTGAAACATAATGTTTACCGAATTAAAAAAAAAATCCAATCCACAAATATTGATTACAGGTGAGGACCGTCCAGAGACCCATTGTAATAGAAATAATACAGTAAGTGACAGCAATAAGTATGACACACTAGTGCACCATCTGCTCGCTCGAGCGCACCATCTGGTTTTCCCACTGCTGCTATTCGTGCCCTGATCTTATTTTAGTGGCAGCAGAAGATGGATTCGAGCAGCAATAAAAATAAAAATGACAGGTTATTTATTTATTGTTCTGCTTTATGTGGGTGTCTCATCGTTTTCACTGTTCTCTTCGCCTCAGTATTGCCGTTAGCTGAACCCACGCGTGTTCTCTGACACACAGTGCATTAAAGCATCCGCAGTGGTGACAGATGTTCCCCTCTCTTGGTCATCTCACAGCTTGCTTGGGCAGGTACCAGGCCTGTGTGCAAACACATGTTTCACCCTGAATCATCTTTCCCATTTTATTAACCCTGAAGTGTTTTCATGCAGCACCTGGATGCTGGGAAGATGTCCCGGGTGACCAGGGACCGAATTCTGGACCATGGGAGGTGGCTCAGGGTCACAGCTGTGGGTGATTGCTACCATGGACTTTCACTGGACTGGAGCGGCCTCACATGCAGAGTTGGCAATGGTGTCCTTGCAGACAGAGAGAAGGTCCTCCAGCACCAACACTGCCATCTCCTCTAGGACATTGTCCATGTAGATCTCCATACCTGTACAGCACAGAGCACAGCAGGGTGCCAAGCCCAGGGGAGGTCTGGGGGCAGGGAGGGGGATTTGCTGATCACAGGCATCCGGCCGCCTCATCAAATGTCTTCAGTTATCCCATGAAATGTCTCCAGTTATCTCCTCACTAGCTCTCTGCCAAGGTCCTTGTGTGGTCAGAAGAGGTGGTCAATGAGTCTTCCCACACGGCAGCTCACCTCGGTTTGTTTAAGACCCTGGCACTTGTTGCCATTCCTCACACCGCTTCTGGATGACCTGGCTGATAGCAGGAGTACATGCCCTGGTGAACAGTCCCTCCCCAGCTTTCTTGTAGGCCCCCTTTAGGAACTGTATATATTACACAGACACAATCAAGTATGGCACTTCACTACTGACAAATACATTTTCCATTAATAGCCGAATAAATACAAGCCACCTCTGTCCTTCTGACCTTTTGGGGGTGTGGGGGGAGAAGTCAGTAGCAATTGAGTCTCTTAACAGTTTAAATCCCTGCCCTACTGTCTAAGGGGGGGGTCTCACCCTGGTGATGTCCGCATCCCCTCCCTGCCCCAGCCGAGGAGCTGGAAAACCAAAATTCCTGCTCTTGCGGTACTTCCCCAGCAGTGTCGCTGGTCACAGACGATTCAGTCTCCTCCACCCCCTTCCACAGAAGCTGAACGTTACCCCACTTGCTACTTGGATAAAGTATCCCACCAGGCTGGGCTGCTGGATGGGACTTTATACAAGTTGGTGATGTTTCCCATAACTGGTCCTTGCTTGGACTTACTCCCTGCTGCTCCCCCTGCACAGCCGACATCCTAACGCCCCCCTTCGAGCCAAGAGATTGACCGAAATAAGCTGCGGGGTGGACACCCTGCCTTTATCCTGGAGGTCTGCGCTTCCATTTCAGAGCCAAAGACGGACTTGGCTGGCTCAGAGCTCATTTTGCCCCCAGCTCTATCGGTCCCAGGCCAGGTCCTCCTTCTCCCTTCACCTGGGCACCAAATCCCCACCGGACAGATTTCCCCCTGCTCTCTCTGTGTTCTGTGGCACCCCCAGGGCCTGTCACGCTGCACTACTTCCCCCCCGGCGCCGTCATCAGGGAGCTCCAACCCGCTTCCTAAAAGCCTTGCCATGTACCTTCAGAGCAAAGTAAGAGCAGGGTAAGGGGCAGGTGTGAAGAAAACCCTCAAGGATCAGAGAGAAAGGATTGTCAAACCAAGGCGGTTGTGTGTGGGGGGAAACTCTGCCAATAAATTAAATATTGAAAAATTCAATGGCATTGAATAGCATCATTAACCCCAAGCACTTAGGAATTGGAAGGCAAGGGGGGACTTAAGCAGCAACAGATTTTCTTTTTTAAGCTTGCCATCGCTGCTCTTGTAATTCTCTCCTTGTGTCTCAGGCATCATCTTGACCTGGGGCTTCCTACACAGCGAGTCTCGAGCAGCCCCAGCTCTGTTTTAAGTGCAGGAGCAGAAGCAAGAGGGAGATCAGGGGCCGGTTTGAGGCTCAAGACCCACAAGATGGGGGACCCAGCGCTGCCCCCCTCTCCCCACAGAGGCCCTTGCCCAGCGCTGGCTGAGGGGCTCAAAGCAAAGTATTTCAAGTGAGAAGAGTCACAGAGCAGAGACCACGGAGACACGGCCCGCAGAGCTGACCACCCAGCCATCCTTTTTTACTTTATTTACTTATTAATGTTTGCAAAGCTCGTGTAATTATTTACTTTAGGGGCAAAAAAAAAAAAAATAAAAAAAAAAAGCAAGCAAACCTCCCCATAGAATCATAGAATGGTCCGGGACAGAAGGGACCTCCAAAGGTCATCTAGTCCAACCCCCCCACAGCCAGCAGGGACTCGTTGCCCAGGGCCTCGTTGAGCCTCACCTTGAATATCTCCAGGGATGGGGCCTCAACCACCTCCCTGGGCAACCTGTTCCAGTGCCCCACCACCCTCACAGTGAAGAACCCTCTCCTAATCTCCAATCTAAATCTGCTCCCCTCCAGCTTAAAGCCGTTGCCCCTCGTCCTGTCACTGCAGGCCTTTCTAAACAGGCTCTCCCCAGCCTTCCTGTAGGCTCCCTTCAGGTACTGGAAGGCTGCTATTAGGTCTCCCCAGAGCCTCCTCTTCTCCAGGCTGAACAACCCCAGCTCCCTCGTAGCAGAGCTGCTCCAACCCTCTGATCAGTTTCGTGGCCATCCTCTGGACCTGCTCCATCAGGTCCATGTCCTTCCTGCATTGAGGGCTCCAGACCTGCACACAATACTCCAGGTGAGGTCTCACCAGAGCAAAGTGGCAGAATCACCTCTCTGGACCTGCTAGCAATGCATCTTTTGATGCAGCTCAGGATGGGATTGGCCTTCTGGGCTGCAAGTGCACACTGCCTGCCCATGTCTCATGTCCAGCTTCTTGTCCATTAGCACCCCCAAGTCCCTTTCCTCAGGGCTGCTTTCCAACACCTCATCCCCCAGTCTGTATTGATACCGAGGATTGTTCCAGCCCAGGTGCAGAACCCTGCACTCACTCTTGTTGAACCTTATGAGTTTCACCTGGACCCACCTCTCCAGCCTGTCCAGGTTCCTCTGGATGGCATCCCGTCCCTCTGGTGTATCAACCACACCACGGAGCCTGGTGTCATCTGCAAACTGCAAAACGGTGCACTCAATCCCTCTGTCTATATTGTTGATAAAAACATTGAACAGTACAGGTCCCAGCAAGGACCCTTGAGGTACAGCACTTGTCACTGCTCTCCTTCTGGACTTCAAGCCATTGACTACCACCCTCTGGATGCAACCATCCAGCCAGTTCCTCATCCACTGAACAGTCCACCCATCAATCCGCACCCCTCCAATTTGGCAAGCAGGATGTTGTGGGGGACGGTGTCAAAGGCCTTACAGGCCTTACCATGACAGAACTAACAGTGACATCAAACCAAGTGCTGGCAACAGCCCTGGTTGCTGCTGGTGCTGATCCCTGCACCCTTGTCCCCGGGCACCCGTCACCCCTCCCAGCGGGGCTGAGTATCTCCCCACTGATGGCAGTAGCTCCAGCACCGTGTTGCCCCAGGCCGGGGAGCAGGCTCTGCACAGGCAGGCACCCGCAGAGAGGGCAAGTTGGTTGAAGCCAAGCTGCCCAGCAGCGGTGGCCGGACTGTCCCCTCTTCACCCTGAGCCATCGAGCCCAGACACAGGGGGCACAGACTCAACAGGTTGGCAGGGGCAGCACTGCCCGGCTGGGGCTCCATCTGGCCCCACCAGGCAGTGGGGAACCCCAGGACTTGATTTTCCTGGTGCTGGGGAACCCCAGGACTCAATCCACCTGCCTTTCACCTCCACTCCAGATTTCACTCCAACTTAAACCCTCTTTGCCAGCCTAGTGACAACAGTAACTACACACACTCCATTATCTCTCGCTGCCATCCATCCTGGGGCTGTCCCCCATCTCCAGGCATCACACCCCCAGGAGGCACAGTCACTTTTCCACCTCATTCCTGTTCTTCAGAGCTGCTGCCAGGCTCAGCCACACACCTTTCCTCTGCCCAGCGTGTGCTTTCCACCCCTCAAACCGTGGCAGAGGAGGCGACCGATGGGCCACCCAAGCCAACCAGTGCTACACTGGGAGCCACCACCATCGACACCGGTCACCGGCTGGTATTTGCACAGCCTGGGGGGTGGCCGCGCTGGAGAGGTGGCAAAATAAATAACGTTTAAGCCAGGGGGCACGCCATCCACCCCTGATGTGTGCAGGCAAACAGATCGATGGGGTAAGGGAGCAGGGCCCTGCGCAAACAACTGATGGCACCAACCACCCCAGCCACAGCAGCGCAACCAGCCGAGAAGAAAAGCCAAAATATCCCTTTCTGCAGCACCGTGGACTATGCAAAGGCACCCAACGAAGAATGCTGGTGGTGCAGCAGCGTAGTCCAAGGACAAACAGTTAAATGAGTTACAAGAACTCTTTTTTTTATTAGAGCAATTTATCTAATTGAGTGGTCATCTAAATATCACCTAATATTTAATATCTAATATTTAATAACATCATCATAACAACAAATCTTTCAACCCCTCTACTCTGGGCTCGTGAGACCCCACCTGGAGTACTATGTCCAGCTTTGGAGTCCTCAGCACAGGAAGGACATGGATCTGCTGGAATGGGTCCAGTGGAGGGCAACGAAGATGATCAGAGGGATGGAGTACCTCCCCTATGAGGACAGGCTGAGAGAGCTGGGGTTGTTCAGCCTGGAGAAGAGAAGGCTCCAGGGAGACCTTACAGCAGCCTTCCAATATCTGAAGGAAGCCTACAGGAGAGCTGGAAAGGGACTCTGTCAGGGAGCGTAGTGACAGGATGAGGGGTAATGGTTTTAAGGTGGAAGAGGGGAGATTTAGATTAGATATTACAAAGGAACTCTTTCCTGTGAGGGTGGTGAGACACTGGAACAGGTTGCCCAGAGAAGCTGTGGCTGCCCCATCCCTGGAGGTGTCCAAGGCCAGGCTGGATGGGGCTTTGAGCCACCTGGTCTGGTGGGAGGTGTCCCTGCCCAGGGCAGGGGGGTTGGAACTTGATGATCTTTGAGGTCCCTTCCAACTCTAACCATTCTATGATTCTATGAAATTAAATAATCTAAAATAACCAACCAACCAACCAGAGGAGTAGGTAAGCTGTGTGCTCTTTCAAAGCCTTGAGGACAAGCTCCTGCAGTTAATTTGTGTAGACAAAAGATCCTTCAAATAGCTGTAGAATTCAGCTTTCCCATATGAAAAGAAAAAAATAATAATCAGATCTTAAAATCTTAACTAGAAGTTTGTGGTATCAGAGGCCCAAGTCACACCCCAGGGAAGCAGCAGGGATGTCCCTGTAAGGCCGGGCTTGGGAGTTCATAGCCCCACTTTTGGGAATCATCCACCTTTCTCCCACTGGTAAGAGCTGCTTGAAAACACACCATCTTTAACTTCACTAGATGAACAGAAATGGGCTGACAGGGTAGCAGGGAGAAGGGGAAGGACGGTGCAGGCACACACATGGACACTGCATAAAGGCTTTGGAAGATGAAGCTACCACACAGCCAGAGGCAGCAGCAGCGCTGCTGATGCACAGGGGGTTCCATCACCTGCCAAAGGAAAGCATCCTTCTCAAACTACACCGCTTCCCCACACCCAGAAATGGACAGGACCGGTTGAAGTCAAGCAGGGAATCAGAACCAGACCAATCGCTTCTTACGTGGAAATAACAGCAAGGCCATGGCACTGGGATTATTTTCTTCGAGAAACTACAAAACGATCACTGAAACGGAACAATTTTGTTTCATACATCCCCTGTCCAAGGCAAAATAGAGGGGGAAGGGCAGATGTGATTACTAGATAAAAGACTCATAGTTAGAAATGAACATATAAAATTTAATAGCTTGGCTTAAAATACATTTTTCAATTAAAAAACAGCAGGCAAAACCAAAAAAATCAGTTTCATAAAACATACATGACATTGCTGCTACTGTTATAAGACCCGTGTCCCAGAATATCTTATAGTGGAAAACAATCGTCAGATTTAGTTCACATACTTCATTAAGCAGTAAAAAGAAATAAACGTTCATGTCAATCCTACCTCTAATAGAGACTCTAAATCTACTTCCCTGACCCTAGACTGAGTTTCTGTAATAAAACTTCCATTTTCAATAAAAATGTGTAAATATATATATGTATTCTATATATCAGGTTTAGAAAAAAAAAAAAATTCCCTTGCCATAGTAACATTATTCCCCATGACTGGTGAGGGGAAGCCCAAGCGGCGGGTTGGTCGGCTGGCTACGAGTCCCATGGCTGCTCTGCTCTGTGGGCTCTGGATTCTGCTATGGGGTGGCCCACGTTGGCCATCCCTTCAGCAGCGCGCTGTGAGCCAGCCTCTCCCTCCTTTGGCTTCAAGCCCACGGGCTCTGCCCACGTGCCCACAGCCACAGAAGCATCCACAAAGGAGTTTGCTCGACCCCAGCCACAGAGCGAAGGGGGGACCACGCGGTGCCCAGAGTGCTGACAAGTCCCTGTGGGGCCCATCAATGGAGGAGGAGGAGGAGGAGGAGGAAGGAAGGGGGAATGGAGCGCTCTATGAACCAGCTCAGGATTGGTCCAGACGCAGATCCTAAAATACTATGTTTCATGTAAGTTATTAAAAAAAATATGGTGGGGAGGAACTTCAAGTGGTCACCTAGTCTCAGCACCAAGGGAGAATCAAATAGACCTGTGACAGTCCAGAGCTACGTCCACCCAGCCTGGCTCTAGAGACCTTCGATGCCAAACTCCACCGCCTCCCTGGGCAACCTGCTCTTCTCACTCGGGAAAGCCACCTCCACATCTAACCTGAATTTCTTCAATTTACACCCACTACTTCCCATTGCGCTTGCGATGGACCAGGAGAACAGTGCTGGGAGGCTGCTCCCCTCAACCTTCTCTTCTGAAGATGGCTCTTCACCTGGCAACTCATCCAACCCTTCCTCCTCACAAGCCATGAGCTCTGCCTGGAGGACCTGGGGGTCTGGTCTCTCTGGCACACCAGACAGGACCAGGCTGTGCTGGAAGGGCCAGGCTTGGCACAGGGCAGAGCGCTCCAGTGGAGGCCTTGGCCATGCCAAGTAGAGCAAAAGGCAGGTCTCCAATTTCTTGCAGGTCGTGCTCCTGTTTATCAACTCAACATGGCATTTACATCCCTCTTCCAGGCAGCAGCATGACACCGCTGAGCAACATTCGGTTATGATCCGTTAACCTTTCAGTCGAATCGTTAACCATTAAGTAGAATCACATCCTACATTTCTGGACTATTTCTCCAGCCTCTCCAGATTGACCTTTGCATCCCAGGTGACGCACCTGCAGCTCTTCCCAGCTTTGTGCTGTCTGAAAATGTTATAAACACCTCTTTCATTACCCAGCTCCCTAACAAAAGCACCGAGCGACACTGGACCTGGTACTCACGCTCTTCTCCTCACCCTCTAATGCAGGTTTTTGCCTCAGAGCCAAGTGCTGCTGTTTAAATGTTCCTCTCTCAGTCGCCACTAACTAAAGGGTGCCTTTCCTTCATAAGCACATGCACGTGATGAGTAAATACTGTACGATCTATTGCAGAGCAGTATTTTCTGGAGGTGTTGGGGCACTCCCAGCTGGGGGTATGCTCAGGACACCTGCTACCAGCTGCCCCTCTGTCTGGTCTCCCCAGCTCAGGGGAGGCTCAGTGCCTGGTGGTGTACACACACCAGGAACGCTGAACCTGACTGCAGCCCTTAGTCCCCGCTGAGCCAGGACACTGCCCTCCTCTCTCTTAAAAGCCTCGCCTGTGCCCTTCCAGCTGTTGACATCCTATAACCTTGCAAGCTGTCTTTGACCCACGAGCTCATCCAGCCTGAGCTGCTGCGGTGGGCAGCGTTCAGCCGAGCATTAAGTACACTGCTACAAAAAAAAAAAAATTAAAAAAAAAATCCACCCTCCAGGAGACCTTCTTTCTGACCCCCAAGAAGTGAGATTTCAAGGAAACTGCATCTGCTCGGCTCCTTCTTGGAACCCAGCTCTCAGACTTGGCCCAAATGACCTCCCAGGGCAGCAGCACGCAGCCATTTCTGGGCTCAAATTGGCAGTTCATCAGGGAAGCCAGGGCTGCCGCCGCCTTGCTGTGCAGGAGGGTTTAGGAGAGAGCCAGAACCTTTTTCCTTCCATGTAGGAAGATCCATGTTAAACAAGCAGGTCTCTTGTGCCTTCTGTGAACGTACAAAAGTGTGCTCACCTTTGGTGCATAGTAAGGGTTTGTCCGTTTTTAAATAGTTACGTTAAATATCTGTTTTCTCTGTATATGGCATCCTTTTAGATGGGCTTCATTGCATATATTCACGGTATATACAGAACACCATATTTTATATATATTATATATCACTTGTATGTACACATTTACAAACCTTCAAAAATATATTGCACTTATATACAATATAGCTTCATCTGATGAGAGTTCACACAGTTACTAAGGCGAGTTCTTCATAAGCAAGGCAGTTTTACATTCCCCCCAAATGACACAAGTGATTTCAACAGTCTGCCCCTGTTCAAGAGTAAACATTATAAAGACTTTTCTCCAACCTGCACACAATTCCTACTAGTATCAATTAGTAGTTTTGCAGCTCTACCTAGCAGAAAACAGTCCAATAAAAATGGTATTAGCTGATAACGGGCTCAAACGTGGATACTGAATAGATAAATAAGAGATCACCACTCTAAAAGGCCACCTTCCAGGGGTTTTCAACCCCACTCCTGTATTTACTAATGTTTTATACACGCTCTCTATTTAATCACTGATCTTTGCTCGCTCATTTCAAGTGCAAATAAGGTCATGAGCATTACAATGTTCCTTGGAAAGAACAGAAACACAAACGTATTAAGCCAAAACACTGCTCTGCTCCCCAGAACAAGTCAACACCTGGCTTTCTTCTGGAGAAGGTGATTAGTGTTTTGCCCAACATCCTAAATTATGGGAAAATGTTCACTGGAGACCTTTGTTTAAAATCCACAGAGGATCCATGATCTTAGATCTCAGTGAGAGTGAGCTTGTAAGATCCTCCAACTTCTTCAATCTGCAACTGGAAGGTATCTTCATTAGAATAGTGTTTCACAATGTTATCGTCCATGTTGACCAGAATTCTGGAAAAATAAAATAAGTCAGGGAAATGTTACTGTACTACATGCCAAAGACACCAAAGGTGCCCTCAAATCTCAGGGAGCCTGGCCAGTCCAGATCCCTGCTCACCTGTCCCTGACCCATGGCTTCCTATAGCAGATCTAGCTGTCCTTATCCAAACCTGCCATCAGGGCTTGCAGCCATATTTCTAGGATCTGAATGAAAGGGGGAACTGGCTCCAGGAGCAGGGAGGGAGGGAGATCTCAGAACTGGCAGAAATCCTTCAGAAGCTGCGGACACTTTGGAACCTCTGGGTCTGGTTTGTTTGGCAGCTATAAACAATCAGCACAAAACCCTATGCCTGACTGTTTCTTGCATTTGCATGGGAGTGCACGTGCGCACACACACACAGAGGTGCCCTTAGCAGTGGTTTAACTACCATCAATTCAAACCTTTTGCAGTTATTCTGCTGGGTTAACTCTGCTATGAACGCACAAGCCTTGAAACTAGATTCTGAAGGTGATTAAAGGATGTATTTTTCCAGCCAGAGGGACTTTGGGGAAGGGGACAAGACACTGAAGTGACTTAGAGAAAAAAAAAAAAACAAAAAGAAGAAAATTACTCAAGTCAGACTATGTACTTCTATAGGACCCTTCTGGTCTTCTGCTCTATCAATGACATCGGAATAGGACTAGTGTGTTGCACCCACCCACACATCTTGGGGCCACACATTTTGGGGCCAGTCTTTTTTCAGTGGTGCCCAGTGACAGGACAAGAGGAAACAGGCACAAACTTGAACATAAGAAGTTCCACCGAAACGTGAGGAAGAACTTCTCTACTTTGAGGGTGGCAGAACCTTGGAACAGGTTGTCCAGAGAGGTGGTGGAGTCTCCATTCCTGGAGACATTCAAAACCCACCTGGACATGTTCCTGTGCCACCTGCTCTAAGCGGATCTGTACATGTTCCTGTGCAACCTGCTCTAGGCGGATCTGTTTTGGCATGGGGGTTGAACTAGATGATCTCCAGAGGTCCCTTCCAACCCCGTATCATTCTGTGATCTGCAAATGGCACTTGCATTGCGCAGCGCATGGAGGAATTACAAAGCAGATTTGCCTACAAGTTTGAAAAAAGGAGTTCACATTCTCAGAGAGTTGCATACTCACCCTTTTTTACATTTTTTGAAGATTTTTCCTATTTTATCGAAAGGAACATCATACTTGTCAGATATCTAGAACAAAAGAAGGAAAGAAAAAAAAGCATTGTGAAGCAAGGAGGCTGTTGGCACTGCCCTCCACTTACAGCTTTACTGAAAGGAACTATAAAAGCTCTGCAAATCAAAACCACCACTCTGCCCCATAAAGGCAATATTAAATCCTGAACTACAGCATAAGCCTACAGATGAGAACCTCGCCTCTGCAGTCTGCCAACTTCTGTGCAAAAAATTCAATCACATTCTAAACTCAGCCATTGGATTTCTCATACAGCACCTCCTGCTCCCACAACGAAAAGCCCACACAGAAAAAAAACCCCACCCCACATCCTGGTTCTCATCCTCTCTTGGCTCTCCCGTCTCTTAGCATATAGAAAACCATTTTTAAGTTCCATGTCACAGGGATCAGGTGAAAACTAGTCATCACAGTGGCTGGCACAGAAAGAAAATAACAACAGAGCAAAGACCTTCGCTGCTAAGGACAGAAGTGGAGCAGAAGTGTCCCCCTTACCCAGGAGGATGGCCTCAGTGTAAAACCACAGCCACTAACCATGGCACTTTTCATCATAAAAAACCTCCAGAAAATCAGGTCAGTAACCAAAGCCTGGTTTTACTTTGGTAAATTGCTCTTATCACCCCAACAGTAAGTACCAAACCGATGTGCCATCGCAGGAAGCAAATACACAGGGGGTTTCCTCCAAGCTACAGTTGTTAAGTTTGTGCTTCCTTGCCTTTATGAAGTGAAACAAGAAGGGCACAGCTTCACTTCGGAGAGGACTTCATAGCCTTCACTGTCCCTCCCCATTAGCCCCTTTCTCCAGGCTGCCTGCGCTGGCAAAGCCCCACAGCCAGGAAAAGACAGAGATTCAGGTCACAGAACCATCTCTGGGTCCCAAAACTAACAGCAGGAGCTGGCTCTGCAGCCCCAAGCCTCTCTCCTCTGAGCATCGACAAGGCATTAGTCACAGAAAGAGGCAGCCAGAAACGTCAGTTTTGAGCTGGTGCCAAACATTACACCATTCCTTGGAGTTAAGCTCTGTACTTCCTTTGCAGCACTGCAGCAGCAGGGGTAGTGGAAGGCTATTTTGGAAGTCAAGCACCAGAGAGCGATTTCACGCACGTGTGCACAGATATATAAAAGCCTTCAAGCACACTCAGAAGCTGGGACTTGGACCTCTTCATAAGCAGGTTATGAAAGGCGAGGGGAGGTCCCAAAACAAAGCTTTGAAAAACTGAAATAAACCCAAACCACTGAACACACTCTGGAAACCACTCCATCTTCTAATTAAAACACCCTCTCTGACATGAGGGACATCCACAGTGGGAGTCTGTTGACCGTTGTTTGATGCAGCAAGGAAGAGACCTAGACAGCTGCTTCTGCAGCTTGGCCAAAGCAGAGCCTGGGTAAGAGGCAAGCCTAGGAGGTGCTCTCTCCAGCTGTGCCTATCATTTTGGGATTATCTCAGGTATCCAGTCATCAAGCTGGACACACCTGGGCTTTAAGGAAGGCTGAGAAACACCTCCTTACACCCAGACCCCACAGATGTGGGGTAAGACACTTAAAAGTCCCTGCAGTCCCTTAATAATGAATTAAAGTATTATTTACATTAATTTCCGTGTCATTGAAAGCAAATTGGCCTTATGCTTCTTATCCAGGTGAGCAGGAATATGTGGACACAAGCTGGAACTGAGAGTCTAGCTCCTGTGACTGGTGTCTGAGGACTGGGTAGGAAGGGACTGCCCTCAATTCTTCTCAAACTTATGGCAGGGACTGTTAAAGAGCTGTATCACTTACCGCTTCCATTAACCCTTTCAGAGACGGCGTCTTTAACATTAGTGCATCAAAGACTTCCTCTGACTCTTTCCGGACATACAGCAACACTGAAAAGCAAATTGGAGAAAGGAATTTACTACATAATTACTCCTCAAAAACAATGTGTATATGACAATGGCTAGGTACAGAATAATATACATTGAGGATCTCATGAAGAGATATACATACAATATTTGTACATATTCAATATACATTGAAAATTGCACCAAAATCATGCATAGCTAGGTTAGCTCAAATACACTTTTTGCACTCAGAAATACCATGTGCTAAAACATCTTTATTGTCAAAATACTTCTAAATTTTTCACTATTTGCTATTTTCTCTATTACTTGAAAGAAAAAGGTCATATTTGAAACACAGAAAGGTGGAACCCAAAACACACAGCTTTGAGACTCTTGGGTATCTGTATTTCACAGGTCATCTGCCACAAGACTTTTGCACAGTAAAATGATTTGACACATGCTACCACAGCAGGTGAAGCCATCCTGGCCACCTCCTCATTTTTAAATAATTTATTTGTACAGTCCTCTGCTCCTCCTACGCTGTCTTATTTCTCTTCCTACCCCTTGCCACGTTCCAGTAATACTCATACCACCCCAGCTGACATACAATGAGGACTCAGTCTCCTGCTAGGAGGGGAATGAAAGAATAAGAAACCCAATTAGGTAAGCAACCTAGTGTTCTCAAGCTAGCAGAGTCATTGTGTATAACACCAGCCTCATCAAAACTGTATTAAGGCTGAGGAATAAGTCACGAGAGCAAGCAAGCTTGGACTTAACAGCTTTGTTGCCTTTAATCCATCTTCTAATGACTAGGTATTGCAGGCTGTTTACAAGGGTTCATCAGCCACAGCTTTGACACACCTGCAACACAGAGCAATTACTGACATATCTAATTGAACAAGGTGAACTCAGGACAGGACAGCACCTTGATGGGTTTCCTCTGCTAAAAGCAGGCTTAAAAGAGGACTGTAGATTTAAAAAATGAAGGCAGTACTCCCTCTCCCAGTTACAGCACGGGTCAAATGATACACCAGTCAAAGGAGAGAGAATCCCACAGGTCTCATTTTATGGCGTAAAGCAACAATAAAACCCAAGAAGTCTAATTTCCTTTTATAAAATGCATCCTTCCTTACTAGTTTATCCAGAAGTGCAGTCCCATTAAAGTCAGACTTGACAGACTTAACCTTTGCCACATCACAAGTTTAATCCTTTAAGCTTCATCATGGTCCTTCCACATACAACTGTCATCAGGCAGGTAACCCACTACACCATCTCCAAAGGTACCTCTCATCTCCTTCCACAGGATCACAGCAACATCCAATCCCACATCAAATTGCAAAGGTGGACAAGTTAAAAATAAGCAGAATATTCTCTCAGTTTGGCTCTCAGTGGTGAACAGACCATTTTCTGGCACCATGAAAGATGCAATAATTTTATACCCAGAACCAGTTCTTGGCAATTCATTGCTTAAAGCCCTGGAGAAGATCTCCAAAGTATTTTGTAGTGGATTACATGATGAATTCTCTCCCCGAGGAGAGACTGGTAACTACCAAGGAGATCGGTAAACCCATGTCTCTTTCCTTACACGTTCAGAGCCAATTATTGCCTGAGTTGGCAGAAAAATCCAGACATTCTGACACTGTAAAATATTTGCAGAGCTGAACTACATCCTAATATACAAACTCTATTATTGCTCCAAGCCAGAAAGATTAGGCTAAAGTAGTCACCAAAATAAATTTTAAAAAACCCCTTTAACCTCAGATGCATCTGTCTATCACGATAGAAAATAATCCAATAGTTCAGTCTCTGAAAGAAGAAAATATTACCTCTTTTTGGTTCTTCTATTCTGGCCATCTTATTCGGAGTAGCAATAAAGTCCTCTTCCCCGATGTAGGCTCCTCTCTTCAAATTGGAGCTGTCATTGACAGGGCAAAAAGTTAGCAGCAGTACAATTACAGGGACTCACCCCCCTGTCTGAGGGCAAGGCTTCAGTAGGCTGAAGTAGCACAGCTCTTACCTTTCACCCTCCAGTTCTTCCGAAGCAACAGGAAGGACCTTTTAAAACAAAGAGGAGAATTTCTTGACATTCCCAGAAAAACACATGCTGAATTAGCTAGCTAGTGAGAACCTTATGTGGTACTCAGTCCTCGGAAAATACTACAAAGGGCTCTGAAGGCTACAAAACAAAGCTGCATAAGGACAGACCCATTAGCTGGAATAACGTGGTCTTGTCAGCAACGCACTCCCCTTCCCTCTAAGTGAGACCTGTTAATAGCAACTTAGCAATAGCTTTGTTTGTGTTAAAGGGTCACTGGCACGGAACAACAGCCCTGCTGCGTGCAGCATGAGCAGAGGTCCAACAGCATCACGTCAAAGGAGAGGGAAGCCCCGAGCCTGTGGCAGGAGCAGCAAGGGACAGGCAGATGGCTCACCCGCCAACTCACTCGTAAGCACATCAGATACCCAGGCTGTCAAGCAGGGAGCCAGCCGTGACTACTCCACTGGAAGTAAGATGCTTTGATCCAAGTGATAAACATTGGCCTCCATTTTAACACACAAACAGTCCTCGTGCTTTTATCCCGAACTAGAATTAATTTCCTCTTACTATCTTTCAACCTTGTATCAAACAACACTTTGGCCCAATCTTCCAAAAGCCACTAAGCATCATCTTTACCTCTTTTCATAAACAGAAATTAAAGGATCTGAAATGAGAGAGGTGGGAACATACAAGAGCTAACTAGCTTTCTATCTGTACCGACATAGGATTTTCTAACAGAGCTCAGCACTACAGCATTCGCAGGAAAACATGCGGAAAAGTCAGCCTTACGGATGTAGTTTATTCTCCATTCCTGTTAGGAGTTTAGGCAATGCTCTTAAAAAGTAAGGTTTAGATTCTGCTAGAGCATGCCAGGACTCCCAGCACAGAAAGTTCAAGGTTTTGAAACTTGGTTGCACTTTAATTTTTTCCCCTTCCAGTTTCCTGTCAGCTGGGGCTTTCCAGGAACGCCGAGGCAGGGCACTCTGGCAGCGGATCACAGAGCTGACACACTTGCCAGTTCCACAGAGTGGCTTTTCACCCCGCAGCAGCGGGCTGGAGCAGCCCCAGGCCTACAGCAGCGCACCAGGAACCCGGCGGATTTTACAAGAGAAAACCAGCCTGCAGTTCATTCACTGAACTCTCGACTGGAGATGCTTTGGAAACACTATTTCAAGTTCAAGGAAAGAGGAGTTCACAGGCAAGTAATTTATTCACAAAACATCCCCAGTTAAGCCCAGCCAATGCTCCCATTGACTAGGAGCAATGTCACTTGTTCACATGAGGCTCAGCCTGGATTTGTCTACAGCACCAGAGCAGACAGTCTGGCATTTTGTATCTACATACACACACACAGCATCCCAGGCTTTTTGCAAATACATCCCCCCCAACCCTCCTCATCCCCACACCCACGAGCTTTACTTACGTGCCCCCCGCGCTGAAGATTTGCAAAGTGAACATCAGGAATGAAAAGGACTGGCTGAGTGTCCAGATCCATGAAGGGCTTGAAGATGGTGATGTCGGTACGTTTGTGTGAGGGAAGCATTGGCACTTTGACATCAGAAACTGCAGAGAGACCAAAGATTGGAATAGAGGATAGTGAAGACACTGATGGGGCTGTGGCTTTCCAACATGATTTAAGAGGCACATATCCTGTTTAACAAGGATACTCAGCAGTCAGGATCAAAGGGAGAAGCTCCTGTGGTAGTTTGAAGCTGCATTGCCTGCCTCAGATGAGGGCCTGGACCTGAAGGAAACAGCTCTTTTGACAGAGGAGTAAGCTTTTGCTCCATCTCTCCAAGTGAGCTGCTTGACTTTCTTCAGATATTAAACTGGGCCAGAGAATGGTCTGACCACTTACCCCAACAGAGACACACAGGTCCCCCACGTACCAAGCACCACAGAAGCACTATCACACTTCAGGGGTGGTACAAATACTATTTCTTGCAAGATATTTGGAGTTACATTTCAATTCCACACTTTCAAATTTTACATTTTTTGTTCATCCTGGTCACCTCAAGCTGCCAGACCCCAGTCCATCCCCACCAGGACCAGCACTGCCTCCCCCAGAGCACTTTGGTTCTCACAATGCACCAGCTGATGTGACAAGTTCACTGACTGCACAGGTTTCACCAGCAGAGACCCGTTTGGGAGAGGGCGAGGCAGGAGGTGCCTTAAAACTGCACTTCAGACATCTTTGTGTCAAACTAAGCCCAGCTGAAGACTTCCACTCCTTTTACCAAGTGGAAACATTTTGATTTTGGGTCAAACCGACCACAAGCAGAACACTTCACTTCTCATGTCCCTGGTGGAAAACACTCTTTTTTTTCCTTGCAAAACTGATTTTTTTTTTAAAGTTTTCTCAGTCCCTGTAGCAAATAACTTTTTGTTGAGCAGTCACAAGCTATCTCTGCTGAGTCCATGCACACATGGCATTTGTGATCCTTAGGGTGGGTATAAATAGCTTATGGCTTAAAGCAATCAAAAACTTCCCACACAAGAGCAAAACAGCAAAGGATTGTACTTTCCAGGAAAATAAAGGTCACATCAGGCTAAACCCAAGCCTAGGAAATTCACACTGGAAAGCAGCTTTTGTAACACCATAAGATCCTGGAAATCTGTATTGAGACTGTCTGCACTTCACAGCCATTATGCAAAGGGCTGCACGCAGTAATCTCTTGGGAGTCGCTGGGGCTACTGCATTTGTGAAATGCTAACAGTGTGCTAAACCTGCCTTTTACACCACATACTTTGGGAAAAAGCCCAGAAACCCAGCCCTTTCTCTAACTGTCCTTGAGCAAGCGGGTTCCCTCTTGGCATAATCTTCTTCTGAAGCTGCTCCAGCAGCCTGTACCTGCTGCGTCAGGAAAATCCTGCCCAGCAAGCCGTGAGGTGCCTGCTTGTTGAACCAGTTGGACTGTTAAAACCACAGCTCTGGCAAGCACAGGGAGCAGTGCCAGGGAGAACACGCACCTGCCCCATCCAAGGGAAGAACAGGGAGATACGTTTCCCTCTAAGCAGCTCTGCTGGTGAATAACTGCTCAGCCAAACACAGGACCTGTTGCAGTCACCTCCAGCAGTTAAAGGAAAGATGCTCAGCTGGAAGCTCTACAGCCTTTACATACTACAAGTGCTGAGGCCTTCACATAGAATGATTTGAGTTGGAAAGGACCTTAAAGATCATCAAGTTCCAACCCCCCTGCCCTGGGCAGGGACACCTCCCACCAGACCAGGTTGCTCCAAGCCCCATCCAGCCTGGCCTTGAACACCTCCAGGGATGGGGCAGCCACAGCTTCTCTGGGAAGAGAAGTTTTGTCTTCTACTGAAGTTATTTACTATGGACTGCTTTGCTCCAGAAGAGTGAGTGTAAGACTGGGAGGCTGGAGGCTCAGTCCCAAGGCTGTTGCCACCACCACCTTGCTGCACAGTTACAAACACATTTTTAACTTGAAACTGAGTTTAGGATCAACCGGGAAAAACTTGGAACAGCTCCAGCACTTGCTGCCACACATTGCTGCAGGGGCTCCAGCAGCACCTGAAAGTCACACACCCTGTCATTTCAACTGCTAAAGAACATACCTGGTTGAAAACGTAACAGGATCCTGTCTTGTACATGAAGAACTAGGTAAATCGTAAGTGACTCAGTATGTTGCAAAACACAATGAATGGTTCCATAAGCAACTGCTTAAAACAAACACTATTCCACAGGGGATAAAAATTGACAGAGTTCTACCGCACAAGATACTTGTAATCAAAATGAAATCTAATATTTAAAATACCAGTGGAATAATTTCTACTTACAGGCATTCAACTGAGAGCTGGGGTCAGTGCACTTGCCTTTTCTTTTGCTTTGCTTTCGCTCTTCATCCCTGATCTTCCTCTCTGCTCCCTGTCAGACAAGAGATTAAGGGGGAGGGGGGAGAGAGAGAGAGTGTGTTTTTAGTTTTTTGTTTTTTTCCAGCTGCAGAGCCAGGAACACCAATTCTTCCAGAGCCATGTTTGTGGAGGTCAGCTCCACACTACGCCAGCTGCAGGTTTGCCAGAGCATGCCAACTTGGAGACTTGCCCTGTGTTTACTTTCAAGTCCTGTCATCTAACGAAATCCAATAACCACATCCAGGATGCAAACACTTGCTTTTTTTTTCCAGTCAGATGGGGATAGGATGACAAAAGATACTCACAGCTGTAACAACTGCATGAAGTGTGAGATAAAATAAACCTGAAGTGCTTAAAACAATAAAAACTTGGAAGTTCCCGCAGTATGAAAGTTCACTAGATCATCATTAAATCCTGATCTATAAAAATCAAGCCACACTTGGATCACCAAGTGCAAGATACCTTCCAGCATGTTTGCACATAGAGCCAGCAGCAGTTATACCAGCCTTCACTGATCTCAAGCTGAAGACAGGAGTAATTGTAAAGCAGATATTACCACTTCTCTTTTTATCGGGGCCTGACTATGTGGGAATCCACAGATACCTAACCAGGTTCTTGCTATGGTTCCCGGCCTTCCAAACCAAGCAGTGGTGGGGAGAGAACTATGTTTTCTGCATGGTGCAGGCAGCTATGACAGAGAGAGAAGGAAGGAATAAGGTTTATACTGGAATCATGTTCATTCCTCCAGCTCTGCCCAGTCCTCCCACGTGACTGTGGGTTAAGGCAGGGATGTCATGTTGCCAGCTGCATAAAGTAGACACAGTAGATGCCCAGCACTCAATCCTGATGGTACCACCAGATCACTGCCCAAACTGGTATAACACAAGTTCTACCTGTCTCCCAACATCCTCCTGCAAAGCAAGGCAAGAAGTAACAGTTGTCTGGCCAAAGGAAGCCATTATTCTTCATCCCCTGAAAAGCTGCCAAAACACACCCACATCCTTGGACAGTGCTGGAGGAAAACTAGATTAGTTACGGTGAATGAAAGGACAAAAAGCATGTGGCAATGGGGTGGGAAACGGTACCCAAGGCAACAGCCCTCCTAATCCCCCAGTAAATCAATACCCTATAGGTGACCAGATGCCTACGCCAGCTAAGAAGCAGTGAGCACATTTGCACTAGCAATAGAAAGGAAAATTAGCCTAAATATTTGATGTGCATTAACATACGTCACCTCTTCTCCCACCTAACAGCAGGGACACAAGCAGTCTCAGGCAGCTGCTTTAGAAAAAGAGAAAAAAATTACTAATGAAGACACAGTCACTACCAGCTTCCTTTGGCCCCATAAAGCCAATACAGCCTATTATAGTGAAGACATCCCACCTAAACCTCAGCACAGCTGGACCCACACGCCTCTAACTTCCCTTACCACTTCCTTTACCACAATAGTCACATCTCAGCTTGACAGCAGAAAGATCAGATTCAGCCCCAGCCCCATTTTTTACATTTTATGTGGAAATAATAAAGTTCTGCTACTCATACAGAACAGCACCCGCTTCCTCGTGGAGAATGTTCTACAGAATGTGGACACACATTTTGAGGAAAACTCTGCCCTCCCATACCTACAGCCAGTGTTCTGCTTGAAAGTCAACTTGTTCCAGGCTAGAGGGTCCCAGGTAAACATCTCAAATTCCACACACAAAAAGAGAAAGTTGTGTCTTGATAACAGGCTTTTCCGCCTTGCCAGTGGAGCTCAGCAACAGCCAGGATCAGATACTTTTGAAGAAAAAACACTGGCAATCCTATATTCTGCAATTATGGAATAAATAAGCTTGTAAGAAAGATGTTTCATTGACTTTATCACCTAGAGAACGGCCCACAGTCTGAAAAGCAAGATTTCACACATTTGCCTACGTGTCAAAGGCTGCAGGGTTTTTTGTTGTTGTTGTTCTTTCCCTCAAAGTCTCCGGTTGTGTAACAGACTCCTGGGCTGAGAAAGGAAAGTGGCATTTTTGGGGAGAGCTGCCATCCCTCCCTTCTGCAGAGAAATGTGATGTATTTGATAGAGCAATGAAGATGCAGGGAGAGGATACGACATCAAGTTATGACATGCTGGCATCTGGACCCTTCATGGTACCACAGGATTCCCCACTTCCACACGCAGGCTGTGTCAGCCAGGCCTGCTCCAAAGCCGGGGGCTGCTCCCTGGCCCCCCTCCACATGCTCTCACACACTGGCTGCAGCTCTGGCACACAGCCCACGAACTATTCAAGTTCTTCCTCTGCCCTGTGGCCCCAGAAGTCGAGCTGCCAGAGTACACTGGTGGACAAAAAATTGGACACGAGCTGGTAGTGTGCACTTGCAGCCCAGAAAGCCAGTTGCGTCCTGGGCTGCATCAAAAGAAGCATGGCCAGCAGGTCTAGGGAGGTGATTCTGCCCCTCTGCTCCACTCTCCTGAGACCCCACCTGGAGTACAGCATCCAGATCTGGAGCTTCTGTCACAGAAAGGACATGGACCTGTTGGAGTAGGTCCAGAGGAGGGCCACTAAAATGGCCAGAGGGTTGGAATACCTCTCCTGTAAAGAGAGGCTAAGAGACTTGGGGTTGTTCAGCCTAGAGAAGAGAAGGCTCCAGGAAGACCTTATTGCAGCTTTCCAAAATACAAAGATGGCTTATGAGAAAGATGGGCCTGTAGTAACAGGGGCAATGGTTTTAAAATGAAAAAGGATAGGTTTAGATTAGATGCAAGAAAGAATTTATTTTTTTTTACAACGATGGTGGCGAAACACTGGAACAGGTTGCCCAGAGAAGTTGTGGATGCCCCATCCCTGTAAGTGTTCAAGATCAGGTTGGATGGGGCTTTGAGCAACCTGATCTAGTGGAAGATGTCCATGCCCACAGCAGAAGCATTGGACTAGATGACCTTTAAAGGTCCCTTCCCACCTGTATTCTGTGATTATGCAAACAAAGGAACAATCTCCATGTTATAGAGTCATAGAGTTGTCCAGGCCGGAAGGGACCTCCAAAGGTCATCTAGTTCAACCTCCCCACAGTCAGCAGGGACGCCCCCAACTAGACCAGGTTGCCCAGGGCCCATGGTTGCCCCATGTTGCTGCCCATCTCCATCAATGCTGCCTTGCACCATCTCTCTTCTTCCAGCAGCATCTCATTCACTTATTCCCACCATCCTATAAAAACTGTCCTACAGCACTGCCTGTCACTTCAGGAGTAACAGCAGGTCCCAGAGGACAACACTAGCTATAGTCTGTTAAATCCTGTATTTAACCCTCTCTGCGTGGGTGCTCTGCTGAGGCACCATTTACAGCAGAGAAGGTCACCTATCTCTGGGACAGGTCACCCCCACCCCCGCGTGACCTAAATATTGCTGGGCCAAGCCTGAATGAAGCTGGTGCTGTAACATGCCACAGGATGACACCAGTGTGCCCCATCCTGCTTTACTCAGGTCTTGAAACCACACAGCAGTAGATGAAAACCAAACATCCTGGACACCTGTGGACCCCCTCCCACAGAGAAAGAAAAAAGGGGAAGACAGAAACACATGAAGAAACTTAGTCTCAAAAACCAGAAACAAGTATCAGCAGCTTTCCCTTCCACTCCAAGTGTGGGAATTCTCCTCCTTCACTCCTTTCCCATGCAAAGGACACCGGACAACATTAACTAAACTGTTTGACCTTCTGTAGGCTATCTATTGATTTATACACACAAAAAAAGAGACAGCAGAGAGCTGCCATGCCAGTGTCTGGGTTCAAAGTCAGTTCAGGCGTGCAATGGAAGCACAGGCTTAGCAGACAAAGGAATAGAGGGGACCTACACAGAGCTGTCCCTGTCAGGTGGCCACAGCATCTTCATTTTGTGCTGTTTTTTCCAACAGACCTCCACAGGACAGACTTGGCCCTCCACAAAGAAAACATGGGTCACAGCAATTCTACAGTAAGAGTGGCCACAGGAGGACAAACACATTAAGGACTGCAGTACATGTGGATGCTATAGTAACAACGGTCCTCTAAGCATTCAAGACCAGCTGATTGATAAGCCAAGATTCAAAGCAGGGCAAAAAATGGGTGCTCTTTCTGAAATACCAATGCCCTTACAGGAGCCTGCAGAAGGTGGCCAGGACTGGGGCCTACGAGTCAGTACCTGGAGCTGTAAGGACACAGGTCTGCTCACAGTAGCACTCGCCCAGCGCCTCAAACAAGCCTTTGAGTACACAGTTTGATTCAATGTGGTGACAAACTTTATTCAGCTCGTCGGCCTCCATCCCCAGCTCCCATCGCCAGACCTGGCCCGGGGCTGAAGGGCAGCAAACTTCAACACCATTTCTATAAATGCAAATTGCAGAATCATCAGGCATCAACCTCACACTGGCTGCATGTTGACAGAACGAGCAGCAGTCAGATTAAATACTGACAAGTAATCTTTGCTCCTTCCCTTCCTCCCTCCCCTTTTAATTCAGGGCCAACTTGCAAAATACCTGGAGGAATAAAGCAGGACGAAAGGCCAAAATCCCAAAGGAAAATAAAAGATACACTGGCATGACTGTACTAATAGATTTACTAAGATTTATGGTATAGACTCAAATGGTTTCCTTTAAGCTATGTTGTCATGGCTTAGGCTGGGCTGGCCACTAAACAAATGACAGTGTCCCCTTCTGGGATTACACATCTGCCCTTTTATTAACCGTTTTGTCTTATTAGCAGTGGCACAAGCCTGTCAGTAATTTTAGCAGAGTATCAGGAATTGACTGGACATCTTATGAATAAAAGATCCCTCCTTTCCCTGCAGCAAGTCTATACTCAGTGGTACTGTAGAGAATACAGGTTGATAACACACAAGAGTCACAGATAATGGAAGAGTTTTAGATGACATGCTTGCCTCGGTCTCATTTTAGAGGAGGAAAAGGAAGAAAGAAAGAAAAAAAAAAAAAAAAAAAAAAAGGCCTGAAGAACACCCATGAGACCAAAGGCTTTTAGGCTTCCTGGCAAGCCTCTAAGATAGCTTTGGAGAGCATTCGTTAACTCCCTGGTAAATTCTTCACAGAAATCATCACAACAGGAGCCATCTCAGGAGGCACTTGAAGGAAGATGACTAAGTAGCTTTACACTGGCAGGCAGCTACAGGCATCTTCTCCCAGCCATGCAAGAAAGCAGAGGGGCCTATTTGAAAGCATATAGACAGACAGTAAAACGCACAGGATGAGTCAATTGGATGCTACAGCTGAGGCAGACTGCAGAGGGCTCCATATATTTTTTGAGAGGTGAGTGAAGCAACAGTGCAGGAGATTAATATTTGTGGCCGTGTCCTGAGGGATGACAAGGCAAGACCACACAGTGTGTAACCGGTGCAAAGCTGGCACAGGACTTCAGAGCTGGTGCCACGAGCCCATCTCAGACCTGCAGCTGCACAGAGAGGTATTGGAGATATCACTCACAAAGAGTCTGTGCTATGAAGATGGAGTCTGGATGCAAAGAATGAGAGGCCATAATCAAGCAGGATGCCAGCAAAATAAGGAGTCAGTGTGGTTCACAGCCATCAAAAGGAGGAATGGGGAAGTCCAGGCAGCATTTATCCCAGCATGGGAAGATCTTGGTCACTTGGAAACAGCAACATTGCACATTACTTGCTCTGGTCCTTCAAGAGACTGCTCAGGCAGGAACAGGTTACAAAGACTGGGAAATGTCCTTTCTTCATAAACTCAGTTGAGCTTTTACAAGCATTTTCAGCTTCACAGCTACAGGTGCACAGTGGCTGTGGGAAAGGTGTTAATTCTGTGCTAAACGTGTTAGGCAGAGCAGTCAAATTACAGCACCCATACAGCTTGTGAACAGGCTTTGTTATGCTGCTGCACCTCACAGAGGCACAATGAAGACAGCAACATTTTCTGTTCACAAGATGTGCAAGTTATTGGTTGGTTTTTTTGCTATGTTTTTTATTTTTTGTAGGTTTTTTTTTTTTGGTTGGTTGTTTTTTTAATAACAAATGCAGTAAGAACACAAGAAGAAATTTAAAAGGACCAGCAGGACATAGCTTGGGCAAAAAGACAAGCCTTCACTTGCTCCAATCAATTGCAATGATTTCTCCTCCTGAAGGCACTCTGCAGGACTTTCCAGTGCCTGGAATACTGACAGCCAGTCTCCTGCCACTGACTGACCTTTCTCCAAAGTCAATGCTCAGGATCACTTCTCAGTGCTCCAGCATTTTTAGAGCAGCAAATTTATTTGGGGTCATCATAACCTCTATGAGCCAAGTAGAAGTGGTTCAAATTCTTTTCTTGCAAAGGCCGAATGCAGATGGGAGTTTTCAATGAGCCAAAATAGCAAGTGACAGAATTAGAAAAAAAAAAAAGCTGCTAAGCTGTGGAACAGCCTTTCCCAAGGGTCACTGGCACATTGGCCTAATCTTACCTTGTCACAGAAGACTTTAATCTGGCAGTAGGCTCTGTGGACAGGTTTGTTACTCCTGTTATTGTAGCTGTAGGTGTCAATCTGAAGATTCAGGGGTAGGCCTTTAACTCCCTTCTGAGAGGAGAAATCCGTGCTGAGGCAGTTCACAGAAATGAAAACCTGCAGAAGAAGAAAGCAGCACCCGTCAGCAGTGACACACAGACTCCTGGCACGCCGCCGAGCGAGGAGTGCAGTGATTGGCCTAATCTTACCTTGTCACAGAAGACTTTAATCTGGCAGTAGGCTCTGTGGACAGGTTTGTTACTCCTGTTATTGTAGCTGTAGGTGTCAATCTGAAGATTCAGGGGTAGGCCTTTAACTCCCTTCTGAGAGGAGAAATCCGTGCTGAGGCAGTTCACAGAAATGAAAACCTGCAGAAGAAGAAAGCAGCACCCGTCAGCAGTGACACACAGACTCCTGGCACGCCGCCGAGCGAGGGAATACTCGGTGAGTGCAGAGATCTAAATGCTGGTCCTTGCCACTTTAAGTAGGACCCTCTATCTTCTGAGAGATCAGGTAAAATCCACAAGATGCAGCGTTACATTCTTAATTCTTTATATAAGTCACTACAAGGGACAAAGTCGCTTTGTCCAGAGTGAATTTCAACGAACTCTCAAACTTTATGAAGACTCCACACATCCTTCCCAGATATTTCTGCCCAACAGATCTCCAATTTTTGCAGCAATAATCCTCCTGCACCCGATCCTCACTGCCCAGTGTTTCACCATCATGGTAAAAACACAACCACGTTTTGGAAAATTTACATTACTTTAAGCAAGTTAAAACAAAGCTTTCCATGAGTTTTATGTAAGCTGCTGCAAGCACAGTTTACGCTTGAAACTACTTGGAGTTTTTGGTTTGGTTTTATTTTTTGTTTGTTTTGTTGGGATTTTTTTTTTTTTAAATGACATTAAAAGCTTTTGAAAAAGTATTTGGCAACAAGTTATCTTTAAACACAGGAATAACACCGTTATTTCAGTGAGAGTGTTTCTGGGCTTTACACTTTAAAAGATGAACACCTTTTTGAATATTCCCCAGTAAGACCTACAAGACCCTGTTAACATTCGGATCAAAAGGGAAAGAGTAATATTTTCATTATTATAATTAAAAAATTGAATTATGGGGAAAATGGATTAAGAGTGATTTTCAACATATCTAATTTCATTTTCGTAATTGCCTAAGAAAAAACAACCAACCCCCAACAACAACCCCCAACCAGAGAACAAGCCAAACACTGCTTAACAGAAAGAAGAAATATCCTGTGTGGGTGCGGACAGAGAGACCAGAGTACTTTGTTATCTAGAACGTGCACATGCTTTGTGCCAAGCCTTTCTCCAGACACAATCCTCATTACTGGCACGTCTAAGAAAAAGCTGCAGTGATTAATTACCAGGAATTTATGAGCTACTGAGACCTGCAATGGCTCCTCTCCCCTCTGCGTCAAGAACAAAGGCTGGGAACCCACTGCTTAAAATAAATAAATTAATAAATAAATAAATAAATCAAAGCCCTGGGAGCCTGAGCATCTTGGCAGGGATTTTGCAGGAACACTGTCCTATTCCCACCACCTGATCGCTCACTTATGGCACTACCAGCACGAAGCAGCCGTTGGCCAGGCTCTGCAGTGAGTGAGTGCCACCTCCCGGAGCCCGCCCGGTGTTGCAAACTCTCGAGGCAGGTTTTGGAAAGCTTATGGGTTTGGGTTGGATTTGTGGTTTTGCAAAGTGCTTATCACGGGCTTCTTCGCACAGGTTCTGCAACATCCTTTACCAGTTTTAACAAAAGAGGGGAAATGGAAATCTAATAGCTTTCACCAGATTAGGGATATAAACTCTTTTTTTCCCCCCCCCATATGTAACACAGTAGTATAAAAAGCCTGGGGGAGGGGGAAAAAAAAAAAAAAAAAAAAAAAAAGAAGAATAGCATAGATAAGCATCATCTCATAATAACTTGTCTGAATGTTTGAGATTCACACGCAGCTTCTTGCAGCCCCTGTGAGGACCAGTCGCCCCAGAGCGGGGAGACAGCAGCTCAGCAAACAGCCCCCATCCCTTCCCTTGTGCACACCTTGTGCACACACACTCCTCACAGAGCTGAGCATCCCCACCGAGCCCCGCTGGTGCAAAGGGACATGGAGGTGTGTGAAACTATATTTAACTCACGCCAGCGTGGCATGAGTGTGGCAGAGACCCACTGCCAGCTCCCCAACCTGTGCTGCTTGTCCTGTGGTGGCCCAAGGGGGATGGCAGCTCTGAAGGTGAGACCACACTCCATGCCCACTTGCCTCCAGCCCGAGCCTCAGCCCCCAGACTCCTGTTGTTCCAAGACTGCTTTTTTTTTTTTTTTTTGGAAAGCGCTAAACACACCCCAAATCGCAGCCAGAAAAATTATTTTCAAACAAGCTCTTTCCAGTCTTCCCCAGACTAACTCCACTGATGGCTTTGCCAGCTTTCCTCCACCCCGCTTCTCTTTTTGCTGCCTTCAGCTTTACGAGGGCATTCTGCTCACGGCGCTGGCGCAGCCTGGGGGAAAGCTTCAAGGAGTTTGAAGAGCTGCCTTCACCCACTTCGGAGCTAGGTAATCAGATGTATGCACAGCCTGAATAATTGTGTTCCCTGAGCAAGGGTTTTGTTTTTTTAACAAGAGCCCCAGCTCTGGTGTTTGCATATTTTTACATTTTAAATTTTAATTTTAAATTTCTTTACCCGTACTGAATATTCACACACAGCTCTCACGTCTGTATGGAGAAATGACTGCTTTCTACAAGAGAACATGCCCGAGCAGCCCCATCAGCAGGTCCACCACAGCCTCAACGCTTCTGTGAAATCCCTCGTTCGAGTTTCACACCACCGGACCTCCATGAGCAGCATCAGCCACCAGTTCCCTAGCAAGCAGTGTCACTTTTTTCCTAGGTAATTCAGGTCTCTGATTTCAGTTTTCATGGCTCACCAGCCACGCAAAGCCCACGCAGCTCACTGGGCTGAAGGTAGAAGCGTTGGTCTCAGCACGACGACGCATGCTAAGGCAGGAGAGCTGCATGGGTATCCGATGGGAACCTGGGATTGCCTGTCAGATGACAAAGATTATCCTCCCACTTTAGAGTCTCCTCATTTGATTAGCTTTGACTTTAAGCAGCTGACTTCATTTTCATGCCATTTAAGTCTTTGGGACTCTGGGCAGGAGATGACAACCAAAACCTAATCACCTCTCTGAAGCAACAGAGCGCCAGCCTGTCTTCTCCTGTTTGTACAAAGCCATTTCAGTTCAAAAGGATTGCCTACTCCTCCCTACCCACCCTGGAACTCCTATTTTTGAGCAACTTCAGGTTGCCTCTAGTTCCACAAAAACAGAGTTTTAGTGAACAGCTTTTCCAGTTTGGGCTAAAGCATTTTCAAGCCAGGTGCTTTTTGTTGAGGAAGATTTGACTTGCGCTTGAAACGTAAGGCCAAGTGACTGCGCCAGCTACATCCCCACCCCAAAATTGCCAGAAGAAAGAAAAACGTAACCGCAGAAGTTGCTCTGCGTCTTCAGCCTGCTGAGCAAGATTCCTTTTCATGTGTCCAACCTATTTTTCTAAGGGCAGTTCCGCATTCTCAGCTATATTAAGATTTGTTGCTACTTTTAAAAAAAACATTTTCATCTCACCTCCCAAGATTCAACATAAAGACAGCACTTAAAAATAGAGCATTGTCAAGCCCAAGCACTTACAAACGTGAGTCAAGCCCTCAAAAGTTACGCAGATTTTCTTTAAAACGGAGATTTTTAAAAGGATTAGAAACCTGTTCTCAAGTCATTTCGCTTGCTCGGCAGTTAAGCCTTTAGTCTACATTTGAATCATATTTCCAGGCTTTTCTCTCCGACCAAAGCCAGGCTTTATTTTCCCATGTTTTTTGGTTGATTTTTTTCAGGCTTTTAAAATTGTTATGAATGAAAGCTGAGATTCTCATCCAGACAAATGGCTTCACAACGGCGAGGTTTAAAGATAAAACACCAAATGGCATGAAGCCTGTGAGCTGGTACAAGCTGTTCACCCCACACACATCTGGTGACTGACACCCCAACATGCTGCAAAGGTGTTGTGGATGTCCCATCCTTGGAGGTGTTCAAGGCCAGGCTGGATGGGCCTTTGAGCAATCTGCTCTAGAGGTGTCCCTGCCCATGGCAGGGGGGTTGGAACTTGATGATCTTTAAGGTCCCTTCCAACTCTAACCATTCTGTGATTCTAAACCCTCCTCCTCCACCCAACGCCAGGCTGGTTTCCTGCAGCCTGTGTGGCAGAGGAGCAGCAGCACCAGCCGCACACAACGAAAAGACCCAAGGCAGGAGGATGAAAGCACCTCCTCCGGGATCGTGCTGGAAGTCAGCGTGGGAAGAAGCCAGATCTCATGACTTCCCAGCCTGCTTTAACCACCCGGCCATTCGTGCCCCTCCTCGCCTCACTCGGGGAGAAACACACCATGTGCCTGTGTTCAAACCTACGAGAAACAATCTTCCATTTTAATAATGCAGAAAAAAAAAAAAAATTAATCCGACAGCTCTGCTGTGTGCCCTCAAGGAAGGGCAGCAGAGACAGCCAAGTTCTTTCCACACAGCACCTTTTTCTAACAAGATCTGCCTTTCAAACAAACCAGGAAAAACAGGCGTAATTAAAGGGCAATCAAAGCGCTGCAGGAACCTCGCTGTCAGCGAGATGAAAGATGCCTTTTTTAAATGAAGGCTTGCGTACCCAGATCTCTGCTCCTTGGTTTATCTTGGACGCCATGCTCTTTTGTCACACAAAAAGCACCAGCAATTTTTGATTAGTCCAAAGGCTACATATGCAGCAGCTTTAGATGAAATGTCACCTTGTAGAGCCTCTTCTGACTCACAGCAAAGCACAGTTGAAAAGGAATGATATGTAGGTACACAGCAACAATGTCTGGATTGCCATAGGTAATGGCAAGCAACTCAGATGGGTATTAGCCCACTGCAAGCTCTGGCCAGTCCCCAGCACACATAGCTGCAGGAAAGACTAATGGCCATGTAACAGATCTCCCCGTTGTACACAGCCTTGTACCTCCTTCTGGGCAAGGCCCTACACAGACAGACTTGGACTATTCCAGCCTGACCACCTTGCTTCACATGGCTTTCACTTCAGCAGGGGACAGCTAAATTGAATTCACCTCCTCTTTTTATGCTCCATTATATTTTTGTACCCAGAGGATGAAGACATCACTTTACAAACCAAATCCCTTAGGTATTTTTTCCTCTATTGAGAGAGAACTTCAGCTCTATTCTAGCACTAGTAGGCAAAAGCCTCTCAATTTAATGTTATAGTCAACTTAAAATTGTCAGGATGCTTTCGATTTTAGATTACTGTGTTTGGACAGAA